ATATAGATATATGCGCAATCCTCAGAAGAAAGAGAGGGAGAGAAAAGAGAGAGAGAAAGAGAGCTGAGCTCTCGAATTCTTCCTAATCACAGCGTAAGAAATGTAGCTTTCGCGAGTGCGAGTCATACCTTGCTGTTCGCGAAGAGGAGACCGACGCCCTCCATGCAAACCTGCAGAAGACCACCCTCGCCCGTTCGCATGTCCTGCACTGGAAACTCACCGCCGAGCTCGTAGCCCACGTTCGCGCCTCGCCCGCGAGCCGCCGCCTTCTCCATGGCGTCCTTAATACAGTAATACACGTCCTTACACTAGGAAAAAAAAAAGAATTATTAATTTGTGAATAAGAAACGCTTATTTTCGATTTCAAAATAATTGAGCGAAAGAAGCATAAAAGTTAAACCGGATCTTAGTGTTAAGTGTTGTTTATAATAATTAGAAATAAAATATATCAAAAAGTACAGACACCGTTTCGACCTTACATGTTAAAACGTGTTCAATTTAATTGTAATCAGTTATGAAACAAAATGAAAATTGCAACAAGAAATATATGTTTTAGTCGGTTAAAATGGTGTCAGAGTATAAAAGAAGAAAAATATATAAATACAAACTTTAATACGGAAAATTCATTCAATTAATAATTCGTGTTGGATGGAATTTTCCTTTGTTTCAATCAATTAAGTGCGATCGTTGAAGTTAAATAATATCAAATTTCATATTGAAAAATTTATGTATTGTAAATCCGCAATACATGCAATGATTCATTTCTCGTGATTTATTTATCTTGATGTCCATTATTATAAATCAAATAAGGAAATAATAAGACGAAGCCATCCATTGAATTGTCAAACCTATGAAATACCATCACATGTCTTAATGTCAATAAAACGAATATTAATTACTTTTTCTATTGAATAGAAGTAACGTTCAAAACAGAGAATCATCAATGTTTATTTAACATGTTGAAAGTAGCACGTAGCATGCAATCTTGATCTCGACGAATTTTTCGATCAACTCGAAATTCAATGTTTTTTTCTCATAGAAAATATAACGTCTGCTTTTTATTGCTGTATTGAATCGCACTACAATTTTCTTTCTCGCTTTAATTCAAACTTGCATCATGTATCTATTTCATTTTAAATAAAAAAAATGTACACTAGATCAGCTATAAAAACAGATTTAGAAAAAACTATCATTTGAAGTTTTATAAAATTCTATTTTCAGGTTTTTTATTCTATCTTCGGTGAACTTTTGCAACCGTTATATGAGACATCCCTTCTTCATAATCTTTCTTCATTTGATTCAATCTTCCCTACCTTCTTGGTATAATACTTGTGTAACTCAGTGTCACCGCCGCTTCTTCTCCATAAGCATAAAACCTTGTTTTTCGGACTGTACGTCATGTTGACTACTCGCTCGTACCACCAGCGCTCGACTATCACGCCGTTCACCGACCTCAGGACCAGGCCGTCGTGGCGGACCTCGAGGAAACGCAGATCACCGTCGGCGTCAACTCCTGAGTGCACGGTGAACGACTGCCGGTGCATTTGCCGGGATGTCAGGGGCTTCAGATCGATGTCGTTTCCGTGCTGCGGAAAAGAAGAAGGCCCATATTCTCAGCATATTCTCGCGATTCATAATCAGTCTCGCGCGATGAAATACTCACGAGATTATTTATTTGATCGAGGAGCGTGTTTAACTCCTGGCTGTAGATGAGGCCGATGTGACTCTTGCCCAATAGTCTGCGCACCTTCCGCTTCAATTCATCTTTATTGACGTTAAGCATTACCAAGACAGCAGTGAGGTTGTGCAGCAACGTGCACAGCAGTCTGTCCTCCTCGTGCTCCAACCGTCGCCTTTCGCTTTCGCTTAGGCTCTTGTATCTATGCCGCACGCAGATGTTTTAATAATTTTTTTCTTTTCTTACGTTTATATTGATCAATACATTTCACGACGTATGCATCTTTTCAATCTTTAATATTAATAAATTAGTAAAAGAATATAATGTGATCCTTTTTTGACTTTCGTTCGTTTTGTTTTATTTTGAATTAAGTATAAAGGTCTCTTACCTCTCCACCATTTCTCCAGGTCCTTGATCCATGCCCATCATATCGCGTTCCTGTGAGACGGCGTCCAAAAAGGCGTCCTCCCAAAATTGCATTTCATCCCATAGAGACGATCTCTCTTTCCCCAATAGACCTAGATTTTAAAAATCGCGATAATAAATAAATAATAATCGTCAGAGGCTTCATCGTTCGTAAATTGCCATAATTCTGGGAATTTTATCTCTGAGATAAAATCTCGTTTCGAATACTATAAATACCTTCGAAGAGATATGTTCTCGCAGCTTCCGGACTCGGTAATGCCGTGGTGGATATCAAACTTCCGCCGTGATACCGAAATCCGGTGCTCAGGGACGATTTGCTGGACCAAACGCTGCCGGAACGCTGCTTGCCCTGCCGAGGAAACTAGAATCACAGAACCACGTAAGAATGAAATTAATAGCATTCCAGAAATAAGATTTTTTTTAATGAGAAACCATAAAAACTTCAATGAAACACAGCAACATCCAAGATTATATTTTTTATCGACGTTCGTCAAAATTATAGCGATTACAGCATTCCAACTAACTGCAATATGATGCCACCTCTAAGGTCAAAGGGTAACTTACTTGCGCGCCTGAGAAATCACGTAAGAAACCTTATATAACAAAAAACATTAATTTTTTGTTAACGCGACACTAGTTTAAATTGCAGCGAAATACGTCATGTTGTTCTTCGATAACAATTTTTTGTGCGATCTGTCAACGTCCATTCGTCTAATAAGTGTCGAAGTATCTATATTCAAAATTATTGAAGGCTCCTGCATGAGATGTAGATGCTACATATTCATTCGTCTCACACATTGAGGATTTTCTATATTTCTAAAATACGCGTACATTCTTAACTTAGGCATTTATGCAATTCAATTTGAATTCGCTAATTGCGTGATTAACGGACACATTAACGAGTCTTGTCGAGCTCGTCGTCGGGAATCTACTTTACAGGAATGAACGGTGCTACTAGCATGTGTGCGTTGCACTCTACTCGATATATGTAATATACGTCTAACAACTATATAAGATTACATTAAGACTAATTCAAGTAGATAATTTACATTGCCTTGCTCGACCTCGCTATCAGACACAGTGCTTCGAAAGGAAGCTTGGTGCGCTTGCCGAAAAGCAGGATTAGTGATAATGCTACCTCCGTCAGTGGATAAAGCTTCGCTGCTTCCTGTTCCACCACCCCGCCCACTCTAAAAAAACACATGACAAAACACGTGTGCGTTGCATGTTACAATCGAAAATTGAGCATTCTTTCTTTCTTCGTTTATTTAGCTTTAAAAGAATCGTCAAAGAAAGACTTCCAGGTCGAATAGTGTATTCTTTAAGAAAGAAAAAGAAAAAAGAAAAGCAACCTCTCGTCTCGTTTTAGGACGGGGGGAGGAGATGTATTTACCAGTTACAACAATTACGCCCTGCGGGATTATATTATTGCGATACACCCAAGTAAGACT